TGACTGGAGTCCAGCCTGACTCTGTTGTTACCTGTCACTTCATTTTTAACACATTTATTTTTTATTTTCTACAGTGAAGCACTGCCATTTTTTCTACTCCTTATTGACCTGTCCAAAGCCTGTACATTGGCTAAGTTTGCTCTCAGCTCAAACTCTCAGGTAGTGTGATGATCATTTTCAGCTGAATATCTGAACTTTACCGTCGTCTAGAGAAAATATTTCTGATGTCATTAACTACCATGTGGTCCCCTGTCTGTACAGGAGGAGGTGAGGGAGAACATTTCTCAGGGCATGGCCATTCTGGGCCCCACGTTTACCCTTGATGCTCTGGTTGAGTGTCTGGTTATAGGAGTGGGCACCATGTCAGGTAAACATCATACTAACAAAGCAGTGAAAACAATATACTGTAATGCATTACAATGTTTCAGTGCTGCCCTGTAGGGTGGATGTTGATACAATGTGAACATTCATTGAGCAGTCATGTTTCTAGTTTTTTCTATTTTTTCTTTTGCATACTTTTTATTTTGGCATTCATATATCAAAATGTTTGGCTCATTCAGGAGTTGGATGTTATGGCTTGTTTTTTATAACTTTTATACCTTTTTAAGTATTTAACTTCATTTACAAATACTTTCCCTTTTAAAATACATTACTTAATGACATCCTTTATTCCTTCCAAAAGATGTTTTTCTGCTTCAATGTATACTGTTCTAGCTTTCAGTAACTTTTACTCTTCATCCAGCCTTGTTACTAGAGGTGGGTGATACTGGGAATTTTGGTATCGATCCGATACCAAGTAAATACAGGGCCAGGATCGCTGATATCAATACCGATACTTTTTAAGCTTCATGATTTGAAAAGATCTAGAAGATCTAGGATAGAATTTCGCCAAACATTGTAGGTTACAACAAAAAACTTTATTATAACAATCAACATTTTTGCTTGCCAACAATAAAGCAGTAACAAAACAGTTTCCTTTAACATTGGGAAAATAAATATTTTATACAAAAATAAAATAAACATTCTTCCCTCACCACTAGACATCTTTCCTAGTTCTTTCTTTATTTTATTAAATAAAATTGTTCTTAGGGAAAAAAAGGAATTTTCTTCCTTTCAATACAATTCTGTTTTATGTAAATAAACAGACTAAAAATATCCATCCATCCATCCATCCATTTTCTGTACACGCTTCTTCCTTTTCAGGGTCGCGTGGGTCACTGGTGCCCAAATCCAGCAGTCACAGTGCGAGGGGCGGGGTACACCCTGGACAGGTCGCAAGTCCATCACAGGGCCACACATAGAGACAAACAAGACAAACAACCATTCACTCTCTCACTCACACCTAGGGACAATTTCACTCAGCACAACTTAAAACAAAATCTCCTGAGGTAGAGGGCTCGGTGAGAACACTGAGTGGGTGGGCCAGCCAGCCAACCTGCTTAGCTTTAGCTGTTTGGCTAGCGCTGCTGAGCCACGTGACGGTACAACAAAAAAAGACAAGGGGGTGTGCGCTGCTCCGTGCTGTGTATGACAGTGCAGCACTACAGACAGAGTAGACTTTGAAAAATCCACATGTGCAGCAGTCAGTGTGTGCGGGAAAGAACAAAGCTTGAGTATCGATCTTTTACATGAGTATTGTTCAGTATCAATACCAGCGTTTGTATCAATATTATCGATATTTGGCATCGATCTGCCCACCTCTATTTGTTACCTTTTAGCCAGTTTTTTGCTAAATTTAGCTTTTAGCGTATTTGTTCTTTTAGCTAATATTCTACTTAGTACACAAGTTTCCATCCAGTTGTAGAGGGAATTTTTATCAAACTTTTCAAAATTCGCAAAAAATTAAATTAAAAATTTTTTGAATCTAGACTGTTTCCATCTAGTTTCCCTCTCGACTGTTTGATGCAAATAAATGAGGCTGCGCAACGCGTGATTACGTCAGACGAGGCTACGCAACGCGTGATTACGTCAGACGTCGGCGACAAGCTTTGCGGTAGTAAACAGGAAGTGAAACTTGCTAACTAGCAGAGGCTAATCATCTAGGGACAATGGAGCGATTTTTTTCGTGACTGCCTTGCAATTGGGCAAGTTGTAATTATTCTATCTATTCAGCTAGKACAGGCTATGTTTAACGCTGCCAGGAGACGTAGGGAAATAAACGCAATGTTTTCGCACGTTTATGATAACATCCGGGACGAGGCAGGAAAGCGGAAACAGCTGAATGTCATGTGAGGTAAATATGCGCTACGTCAGAATTTATTCGGCAAATGTGTTTCCATCTCCTGTTTTGTGCATTAACTACTTTGCGAATCATCCAAAAACCACCTCAAGCGAGCGTAAAAACTTTTTAGCGAATTGAGGATTTTTTTTTTTTTTTAGAATTTTGCTATTTCCATCCGACTTTTTTCGCATTTTTAATGCGACACTTCTAAATGTGCATCAAAAAGCCTTGATGGAAACACGGTTATTGTAGCTTTAAGCATTCATATTTCTGCAGCTAATTGTAAAAAGAAATGTTTGTTTCTCCTGTTTTTCAGGTGTTCCTCAGTTGGAGATCATGTGCTGTTTTGGTTGTATGTCTGTTTTGGCCAATTACTTTGTTTTCATGACGTTCTTCCCAGCTTGTGTCTCCCTGGTCCTTGAGGTTAGAGCGACACAAACGTCCTAAAAATGAGTTCTTTCAGTGTGAAATGATGAGTGAATATCTAACTATGCATACTTGTTGGTTGCAGCTTTCAAGGGAAAGTCGTGAGGGCCGGCCCATCTGGCAGATGAGCCACCTGGCCCATGTACTTGCAGAGGAGGAGGATAACAAGCCCAATCCTGTTACCCAAAGGGTTAAAATTATTATGGTGAGGATTGTATTTACAGTCTTTGAAACAACTGTATTTGTTCTTTGAATCTGTGATACAGTTTAAACATTGTGTAAATGATAAAAGGAGTGTGCTGAGTTTAATTTAGGTCATGTGTTATCCTTCAGTCCCTTGGTTTGGCCTTGGTTCATGCCCACACCAGGCTGATTGCTGAGCGTTCAGGTCACAATCGCACAGCAGAAGGTCCTATAGCAGAGAGGAGGAACTATGAAGGGTCTATGTGGCCTGTGAAGCTCAGCAGGTAAATAAAAAACCTTGATTTCATTCACATTTAACTGCTTTTCTACATTTAGGCTCGTTCATGAATAACCTGGTCTGTCTCCGCCCACTAGCATGGAGCTGGAACACGTGATAACCCTCAGCCTGGCCCTGCTCCTTGCTGTGAAATACGTCTTCTTTGAACAAGCAGAGACAGAGTCCTCTCTGTCTCTGAGGAGTCCAATGAATGGTTCAGCTTTGATCCAGAAGCCCAGGGGAGTCGAGGACTGCTGCAGGAGGGAGCTTCCAGCTCTGAAATCCCACAGGACCAGAACAAGCGGCGCTGCATCCTCAGCTGTGTCAGACAGTAAACTGTTGTCTGAAACAGCTTGTACCAGCAAAGGTGGGTGAGGCTCACTAATGTTGCTATTAGCTTTCAGTGTTTGTCTTCAATAAATCAAAAAAACATTCTTAAAGAGACGAAGCAGATTTTACCAAAATATTCATTTCTTTGTTTTCTGTTTAATTTCTTTTTAAAATTGTCATTGTGAAATCATTGTATCTTAAATAAAACAAGTATTAGGACAAAACCTTTCAGAACAATATTTTAAAATTATATCAGGTTTTTTTTACTTGAATTAGTGGGAATAGATTTTTTTTCTAAAACAACTGAAAAGGCCTTTTCCCCAATATTCCTCCATGTAGATTATGAATGAGTATTTTCACTTTGTAGGTTAAAGTTTCATTTTGTGAAATGTTTGTTTTCTTATTTTTCATGTTTAAACTGTTTCAAAATAGTTTCATGCAACTTCATAACAAACTGAACCATCTTCAGCATCATAAAACATGAGTCAATCTGAACAAAACTGATCTATAGAGTGTTTCTGCAACTAAATGTCACACTGTGTATATTAGAATTCAATGAAATTACAAAGTATAAATATTTAATTGGGTCTGATTTGCTGTTTTCAATATTTTTAAAAGCTGTTTTTTTATGTGAATAACTCCAAGGTCAAAGTTCTGTGTTTACTGTTGTAACTTTGTTTTCACATCAGTAACTTTTCACAATGTTTCAATAAATGAGCAAAACAATCTAAAGGAAAATATGTGAGAAGTGGGTTAAATTTGACCTTTTTTAACCAAAATGTTTTGGTGTTACTAAACATTTAGTGATTTACAAATTTGCTTGCAACGTACTTTTGGAATCAAAGCATTTAAATATTTGTGTAAAATAAGAATTTATTTATTTACCTTTTTTTTTTATTTACTGGTCCCCATTAGTCTCTTCAAAGAAGAGAATAATCTTCTTGGGGCCCAACAAACAAAATACAACATAACAATAAAAAACAAACAAAAAACACAAATCTCAACACTTAAAACATAATAAAATAAAAGATTGATTGATTGATTATTATTGATTATTATTACATAATACATAGCAGAATGACCACATCCATACCACAAAAACCCACAAAAAATAAAGAAATAAATTACAATAAAATAAAAACCATCGTAAATTTCATAAAAGAAACATTAACTTAAACCTCTAAAACATGAATCAATTGACAATCTCTCTCATAACACAACGTAATATAGATATATTCAACCAATACCACAAACTGACAACCAATTAGACAATAAACACCATCTCTTCTTTTATATTATTTACCTTTGAATAACCAATTCTTAACAGTAGCTTTGAAATTATAATAATTATCTAATACTTTTATATCAAGAGACAATATATTCCAATAACCAATGGCTCTAAACATAACTGTTTGTTTCAATGCATTAGTTTTAGGTAAGGGTAAAACAAAGGTCATAGAAGCAGCGTATCTAGTTCCAAAACTATGTCTATTCGAAGTGGGCAACAACTGGGAGAACAAGATGGCAGGTTTATGTGTAGTCCAGATTCTATAAAAGAAACAAGTCCATATATTTATTTTTCTTCATCTTTTAACCACGTTAAATTCTTATGCATTAAATCAACACTGGTCATAAAATCACAACCAAGTGCCAATCTTGCAGCTTTATTTTGAGCGATTTGAAACTTATTTAAATCCTCCTTTAGACCACTGGACCACACAACAGAACAGTAGTTTAAGTGACATAAAACTAATGACTGTATCACCAATATTCTTACTTTAGAAGACAAAGTGCGCATTATATCTGATAACAGTAATATTTCTGCACATTTTACTGAAAATATTATGAATATGTGTAGACCACGACAATGATTGATCTAAAATAACTCCTAACAGTTTAAACTCCCTGACCTGCTCAGTCTGAGCAATAAATGGAAGATGACCATGTTTGCCATGAAAAACATGACACTAAAGTCGTTTTTACAGATGGTGTAAATGAGTTGTTACACTGAAAACAATACATACACTGATGCTACATAGTGTAGGACATCTTTGTTTGTTTGCCTCACTACCATAGACAGCATGATTTAGATGCTAACAGATTGTTCAAGGTGTAAAAATGTCACTTGAAATCACATAATGTTATTTAGAAGGTTTGACCAGCTCTTGTTCTCATTTCTTAACATAAAATGGTCTTAGTCCAAAGCTTCCTTGTAAAGGCAGTAGAAGATTGTTTCCTTCAAGGAATGCTAGAATAAGAAAGCTTCATGGGATTTTTGTTCTTGTAGAAACCTGGAGTAAAACCATGGCCCAAACAGCCTTGATGGAAACCTGTGGTTTATCTGAGTCCTCCTCTGCTCAGACAGGTTGTAGGCTGGAGCCTCGATCTCTGGAGGAATGTATCTCCATCCTGTCTGATCCTCAGGTAATTCATTAGATCAGGTGCAAATCCAACATCTTTCATGTTTTTATGTAAGGATTTATAAACATGAAGTGATGTTTTTATGTAAGGATTTATAAACATGAAGTGATGTTTTTATGTAAGGCTTTATWAACATGAAGTGATGTTTTTATGTAAGGCTAAATGAACATGAAGTGATGTTTTTATGTAAGGTTTTATAAACATGAAGTGATGTTTTTATGTAAGGCTTTATGAACATGATGTGCTGTTTCAGAGAGGTCCCCAGATGCTTAGCGATGCAGAGGTAATGAACCTTGTAAGCTCCTGTAAGATCCTGAACTACAAGCTAGAAGCAGTCCTGGAGAGTCCAGAGAGGGGCGTGGCCATCAGGAGAGAGTTGTTATCAGCCAAACTGCCCGTTCCATCTGCGTTGGCTTGTCTGCCTTATAAAGGCTACGACTACTCAAAGGTGCTGACGTCAGCTTGATCTTTTTGTTATATTTTAGTCTAATCTTGGAAGTGTTTCCATGTTCTTGTTGCAGCTGCTGTATAGTGTGTATCACTGTGTGTCCTCGTCCTGCAGGTGATGGGTACGTGCTGTGAGAATGTCATTGGCTACATGCCTGTGCCTGTGGGAGTGGCAGGCCCTCTGCTGCTGGACAACCATCAGTTTTACATCCCTCTGGCCACCACAGAAGGCTGCCTGGTGGCCAGCACTAACAGAGGATGTAGAGCACTGTCTGTAAGTGACACCGTCACATCCTGACTGCTGCTGTAAGCTTTGTGGTGACAGTGTTGTTCCTGTGCAGCTGAGTGGGGGCTGCAGCAGCAGGATTCTGGCTGACAGGATGACCAGAGGACCTGTGGTGAGGCTGCCCTCAGCGTGCCGAGCTGCAGAGGTCAAACTCTGGCTGGAGACCTCAGAAGGCTTTGACTTGATGAAGGAGACCTTTGACCAGACCAGCAGGTCAGCAGGCACATTCAGACCATCTGACAGCAATACTAGAAGAAATGTAGTCCCAGTCAAGGGCGTAACTTTCTGAAGGACTGGTGTGGACATGTCCCCACCAATGTTAGCACAGCTTTTTTCCTTTGCGTGCATCAACATTTCCCCACAGTAGGCAGCAGCAACTGCTGTGTCTACCTTTTTCCGAAAAAAAATAAAAGTAGCTGCGCTGCTTCTTCTCTTCCAGATACACGCATGCACACACGCACGTGCGCGCGGGGGAGAGGGGGGGGG